GGAAATGTGGGAATTGCTCAAGCACAAGGTTTCGCCCTCCGGCCATCATTGCAAAGCTAGTCGTACATGTGCCATGATCATGTCATCCCCCGCTCCATGATTCAACCTCATCCCCCCCTCCCATGGCTTTTCAAACTGCCCTAGCCCGCCCCCACCCCGCTTTCCTTAGCCCCCCCGCTCCTACCCATGAGGAGAGGCTGCCGGGCCATAGTCAACGTGCCCGTCGGGGAAGAAGCTGCTGGGTAGGTCTGGCCGTACACTGGGCCGTACACTGGGCTGTACTCACAGGGGCGACGGCAAAGGTGCAGCAGTAGCAGACAAAGGCGGACACCCGGCAGTAGCAGCGTTTAATAAGTTGCGGCGGCAGTAGCGGCAGCAAACCTAGTCCTGGAAAGCCATCAGCGTTTCATTCTAAACCTTACCCACCGACCCACCCCTGTGGCTCCCTTATCCCACTGTTTTCCTTCTCCTCGTTGTCGTCGTCTTCTGGTCCTTTTGAATCCAACACCCCTGCCAATTACGGATTCCAAATCCGGGTTTCCTCCCCGGGATCCTGAGACCCACCTGCTGTACGCATGAGTCGCCGGGTCCCCACGTCCCCCTCGGGACTGCGCCAAACCCCCTCCGACATCCCCGCTGGCCCCGGGCTGCACAGACTGTCGGCTACGTACGACAAGCAGGTTTCCGTCGTACTGCTCCGGCGCCGATAACCTTGAGTGAGGAACATAATAATGGCCCAAGTTCGCCGCAAGGGAGGGGGGAAGAAGGGGAGGAGGGGAGGGGGGAAGGGGGGAAAGACGGGAGGGGGGGAAGACGAACCACGAACGGGGGGAGGGGGGGAGGAGGGGGAAGAGGAACAGGAAAACAAACCGGGGAGGGCCTTATGTGAAATATGAGGGAGGGAGGGAGGGCACACTTGGGAGATCAGGGGCGCGAGCCGCGTTGTGCTTCGTGGCATTAACCCACACGCACACGCTGCACGACAGTACGACAGTGTGTAAAGAGCATCTCTTGCAGCACAGGGCGCAGGGGAGCTGTTGCTGACACGACCCTAACCCAGCTGGTAACCCCACAGTTGCCCCAGCGTGCGTGTTTCGCGCACACGCCCGCGCGCGCACGCGTGTGCGTCTGTATGTGTTTAGAGCGTCTGCAAAAGCGTTGTGCAATGTTTCGTGTAGCACGTGTGCGGCTCGTGTGTGTGTATGGCACACCCCACCTTTCCCCCTTTCTTTCCTGCCCCCCACGCCCCCTGTACGGCACCCACGTGGGCCTCCTGAGGTCCACTCGCGCCACTCCGGTCGTGTTATCCACCAGCCATCGCCAGCACTTGCGGGCCTGACAGACATGGGGACATACAGACAGGTACGCAGCCGGACAGACCAGCAGGCAGACATACAGACAGACGGAAACAGAGCGACAGGCAGACACACAGCCGGGCAAAAATAAACACACAGGCAGGCGGACAGACAGGCAGACAGACAGACACATATCTGGTACCACTTGAAAACGTCAGCGATGCCTCCCTCCTAAGCCATACCGCAAACGACGTGATGTACACTAGAAAAGGGCATAGAAACGCGAACTCTTAGATGACGCAAGTCACCGTAGCAGCCACCACACCAGCCACCAGCAGGCACTCAGCTGCGACATACATACATACACACATACATACACATACATACACATACATACACATACATACACACACACATACATACACACACATACAAGCTACCCGAAGTGGCCAACTCACATAACGGGGGGAGGGAGCATCAAGAAAAGAAAAAAGGCAAACGGACCCCGCGTGTGCGAGCCCGAAGAGAAACCCATCGCGTAGGGGGACTGCTGTAAGTGCTTCGGGAGAGCCCCGGGGGGGGGGGGTGAAGACCACGAACCACAAACGAGTGAAGCTGCTGCCAGGGCAAGAGTGTACCAGACGTAGAACTGACCGAAAGGCGTCCCCGGGGGGGGGGGGAGACCACGAACCACGAACGTCTGAAGGCGATGCCAAGGATATAGACCCGGGGGGGTCCATAAGCTTCGAGCATTGCGGGCACTGAGAAAGGGCGCGAAGAAGGAAGCGGTCGCCAAATACCCCATCCACATCAAAGCATCCACACGTCATTACACATATCCGTACACATACTCGTTCCCAGCTCCTCAGCTCAACACCCCCCCCCCGGGGTCACCCACCCAGGGCTGCATCTGGATCTTGGGCGGCGCCACGTGCACCGTGGAGGGTATGTACACGCGCGTCGTCGATTCCGCCCGGGGGAAACCTCCCCCAGGAGGCGGATGTGGAGGCGGGTAGGGACCTGGACGGCCGTTGCCCGGAGGCCGGCGGGTTGGTGCGGGACGCGGGGTGAACGACGGTATCCAGCGTAATCTTTATTGGCGAGATCCGTGGATTGATGGATTGATGGAGCCGTGGATTCGTAGTCATCTCGTTGTTGCATTTATGGGATGCAAAGGTGGTAGTCCAGCGGCGCGACAAATGTGATCCACAGGATCCACGTTTTAAACTTTTAATTGAGGGATGCAGGGATGCGCGTTCTGCCCCTGAGTGAGAAATACAAGCCAGCGACCGTAACGTGGCGGCTAAGTAAGGGCTTTTAACGGGGCGCAGGCGTGACCTTGGGGATGTGAAAGTGGCCAGTTGCTGGCTGTTGGTTTGTTGTTGGTTGACGCGGGGGAGCTGCAGAGAGCTCACCATAGCGCTGGTGCGGTATTTCTGATTAAGGATGAAATTACTTAATACTGTGACTCTACCTGGTCTGATGGGCGGGTGGATGGAATATGGATGACAAGACAAGACGTCGTGCTTACGCATGGCATACCTGCGTGATGTGTATGATGCCGATAAGAATCGCCAGAGGCGTAGGGGTCGCCGTAGGGCTCCGGCGCTCCGCCATAGGGGCTGCGGCTGTGCCGGAAGGGTTGCGTGCTTGGGGGCGGCAGCGTTGCGGGCGGGTGGCTCGTTGCTGCCATTTCTTTGCAAAAAGATTACAATACAAGACGCCTCTGATTTGCTTTTAAAAGTCTCACGGTGCCGTCCTAGGCGCAGCTGGCGTTGCGCCTAGGAACCTCAGAATGAGGCAGCGACAACTGTAGAAAGAGGATAAATGGGCCTGCGATTTAAATTCATACTAGAGATGTAGCTGGTAGATACTGATATTTAGTCGTTGGCTTGCCCAACGAAAGGGTGGGCAAGGACCTAGATGTTGGACGAAACATGGACGAGCATGCTCGGACTGAGACACGATTATTCTTTGCGCAATCCGGAAGGAATATCGTAACAGGAGGCGCTGCGGCCGGGGCCGATACGCGCTGTTATCAAATAGAAGAGGAAACACGGTAAAATGCAAAGCGCAGAAGCCAGGAGGCGGTTAAAAAGTTCACATGACGCGAACCGACCAGACATATGGGATGTGACGCCCGAAAAAATGGCAACGTGAAGCGGCAAACAAAGTAGAGAAATAAGTTAAGAAGAGTTGGTGGTAAAATATAGAACGTTGTATTCGTGAACTTCAGGAAGAGACGGGCAATGTTATGCAAGGTTAATGAGCAAAGCGTTCACAGGGAGAGGAGGGAGAGGAGGGAGAGGAGGGAGAGAAGGGAGAGGAGGGAGAGGAGGGAGAGGAGGGAAAGGAGGGGGGAAAGCCCCAAAGGGGCAATGAAAAGCCCCATCAATACACTATTGGCAATTTCGCTGTTGTACATTTGCACCTACAAATATCCGGACCAAAATGACTGCGGCGGCGTCGCACTCTTATTCGCGCGTACAATTCTTGGTTACCAAAGCATGCCCAGCACTTTCCTTTTTGACAAAGATGACATGCAAACCGCCCGGTTGCTTCTGCTGAACGAACTAACCGCTTCGCGTTTGCTGTGGTGACCCACTCCAACTTAACCGTCACACTTGCGCACAGCTACTATATAACCAACCATGTATTAACTGTGAACAAGCCATGGTTCGCACATCCGTATTTCTACAATAATTAATCCTACTAGACGTTGCCTAATCTCATGCGACAAGTCTCAACACTAACGCACACGTTGCAGCAACTCCCAACACTTGTACCGCGGAAGACGGAAGACGAAAGACAAATGACAGAAACTCACACATGCAACTTGTACCAACGCACGGTCGACAACTTGCAACTGATGTACGGCCATCTCCAGCTATGATATATATACACCAAACGCTGCACCAGTTGCAAATGTTTGAACTGCTGCTTGTACATTGACTCGTCATCATCCCCATTAAGAATGTGGTACGTCACGCGCATATGGATCTCATACCTAACCACATGATTAACAATAGGGCCGGCATGCTGGCTGCATGCAATGCGGGTGCTGTCAACAACGACATCGACCTTCGTGGGAAGGAATCGCACCGGGTGTTGTTCTTCGGGGCAAGAAGCCCCTGGAAATTTAAACCGCCGCCATTTTTTACAAGTATGACCAAGAGACCACGATTATTGCATTTCACAATTTAACCTTCTACTGTTGACCCTCTCATTGCAGTAGAGAGCTGCGCCATGATAGGTGTCGTTGTATACAATTTGCATCGTGGTCAACGATGCATGTCCTGTTCGGGCCGAAGAACCTCAACCAGGGTGACGTAATCATCATAGTGTTTGGTGACATCCTGAAAAGTGACATCCAGTTTAAGGTTTTTCAAGGCTCTCTTTGAGCGAGCCCTACCGCTGATGAACCCGCCATACAACATTCACGGCATCGACAAATGGTACGAGATAGAAGACTTCAGTTTCACTTCTGCTGCAACGACGAATATTTGCGCATGTAAGTACTTAACATCGCATGCTCCTTGGAAGGTGAATTGTAAATACCCGCCTTTTCAACCTCTATAATCAGGTTGAAGGATCAATGCTATCTGATGACTTGTGCTCGTGTAACAAAATCTTCAATGTTTTTCCAAGAGCCGCATCAGGCCAAGGATGGATGGCAGGCATCTTCTAGTGTCTTCAGATTAGTGCGCAAACGATGGATGGAAGGAGCCTTGACTCGTGAGAGTGTGCATGTGTGCGATGCCTCCCACGCCGGGAGGAGGAAATCGGAGCTAGCATCCTGCGGCTCTCATCTGCTTAGGACGGTGCACAAAACCCTTGCGCCCCTCTTAAAACCTGTGCGCCCTTCTTATGTTCGCGGGAGGGAGCTTAGGCGGGCTGGACAGCAGTCCCTGGCGCCAGGTCAAATACTTGTAACGAAGCCGAAATGCGGAGTCATTGATTGAGAGAGGTATCACGGTAAAATGCAAAGCACAAAAGCAAGGAAGGTCATATATCACAACTCCACCAGTCAGATAAAAAGTGACATCTGGACACATGGCATCGTGAAGCAAAGAACACAAATAAGGTCAAAACATCGTAAGAAATCATAAAACGTTTCACTCGGAAACTACAGGTGGAGAAGTGTACAGAGTTCAACCTTCATAACGGGAGGTACATCTAAAGCATTCATGAGCAAAGCGTCTACAAGGAACGCGGGAGGGAATTGGGAGGAGAGAAAGAAATGTAAGGAGGGAGAAGAACGTGAGGAGGAAGACACAGAAGAGGGAGAGGAGGGAGACAAGAGAGCGGAGGAAGAGAAGACGCGTTCAGGGAAAGGAGACAGCAAAAAGAGAGGAGCGAGAGGAGGGAAAGGAGCGAGAGAAGAGCAGTGAGAGAAGTAAGCGGAGGGAGAGGCCTCTCCTAGGTGCACGTTAATGTTGCCGTGTTTGTCTTTTCCGACAACAAAGCCCAGCATCTTTCCAATGCATCCCAGGATTACCCAAACACATCCCAGGCAAATCAGACGAAGAATTCGGCCTTTCGGCCACCAAGGCACATAACAGGTGCAACACGAAGAAAGTGCTGTTCACGGATGACCGGCCCTATTTGCCTGTTTATTGCCACTTACTTTATGGTGTAGTATTTTGGAAATCTGTTAGCATTATTTTGTGAAATTGCAGTGCATTCGGGCCTGTAGGCGGGCCGTATTCTTGTAGTTCTATGGCGCGGCCTGCAGGCTGTGATCAAAATAGGGCCGGTCATCCGTGAACAGCACCAGAATGCGTTTGTATTGTGGACTTTGTTACACGAGCACACTCATAAGGTAGCTTTGCCCCTCCTAATTGCACCCCATTCGACTCACTGTACTCGTACCATTCCTCATAAGTCCCATCACCACATACGCTGGAGCACCCTCAACCGCACCCACTACACAATAAGACAGTTCCTTTGGTGGGCAAGCCTATATACGCGTAACGTGCGGGTTTGGGACGTCAAAACTTTGTCTCCGGAGCGATGGACGAGCAACATGTAATGGACACTCCAAACCTCCTTACCAAACTATGCAACCGTGAATGTCGCTGATTCCAACATAGGCCACATTATTAAGATGGAATTTTCGGCTTAAGCCAGCCAGTTTATAGTGACGATCAACTCTTTGGCGGGGCCAGAGGAGCCTCGTCAAAAGCTTGACGACTTCAGCAATTTAATTTAGGGGCATGTCAAGCAGCAATGCAACTGCCTGGGTGCTGCAGGCGGCGCTTCAGGGTCTGTCGGCTCCTAGCGGCAAGGATTTCATAGCAGCGGCTCGGTTTTCTGGTGCAAAGCCCGGATACGTTTTCAAAAGTGGCGAACACGGCTTGGGGTAAGCTACATGTGCGCTGTAAGGCAAGAGCTGTCCTTGGGACATTCTCCCGACACCCTGACAACTCTTAGCGCGGCCTCACCTTATCCTTTGGTCTCAAAATTTCCTCTCCTTGCCTTCCGCACGAGCAAGCATCCGGTCAAAGTCGCCCTTTCCAACAGCCCATGTTGGCAAACAAGCCATTTGGTGGTCGTCGTTGCCATGTGTCCTCGCAGATATTATCTCGACTCGTTGCAAGGGGATGCAGCGGCCGCGGCTGGGACGGACGGGGCGGATCCCAGCGGCAACGCAGACGGCAAGGGCGCAGCAGCCCAGCCTCCGCAGCACCCTCCTCAGCCGCAGCTGGATCCCGAGGAGCTGCTGCGCCAGGCGGAGGAGGAAGCCAACATCGATCAAGTAAGATCGAAATCGTTAAAGAAACCCGGGGAATCAAGGAAGGATTGGGAACAGACGAGTACGAGAACGGCGACTGGGTGAGGGGCCACCGCACGAGTGACACGACTACACAAGGCATATTGTCTTGGCGGGGGGCCGAACTGGGTTTCTCTTGTCCGGGGCTTGGCGGTCATAAGATTTACTGACAGACATGACCAACACAGTTTCGCCCTGCAAATCCGGCGTGTATTCGAGCGTCCCACTGTGTGTTCGCATGGTGGCCGCCTGGCCAAACACTGGCCGGGTATGTACATATGTACCGCCTATACGGAGAGCTGCATGTCACATATGTGTATGCGTGCGTTCGTATACCGCGGTGTGCGCCGTGTGTGTATGTATGTATGTATGTATGTATGTATGCGTGTGTGTATGTATGCGTGTGTGTGTTTTGCAGCTGGCGCCACACGGCGGGGTCAGCCTCTGGTAGGGCTAGTCGAGCCGGTGTACAAGTTAACAGAAGGCCATGCATGTTGTGTGCATAGCCGGATAGTACTCTTTGATTACAGTCAGTATGGCATCGGTACCCGACCGGCTGATGAAGTATATGTCTGTATGTGCACGTCTTGGGGGGTGTGGGCCGTGGGGGTTAGGGGGTGGGGAAGAAAAGACAAGCCACAGGCGAGTGATGCTGATACCATGGGGTGACTGGGAGCGGCACCTCTTGAGGGGTGGGCCAAGTCGAACCACCTCTGCCGGGAGCCCTGGTGGGTGGTGACCTTCCCCCTGTGGGGCTGCTGCAAAGCAATATTTCCACCGCACACAGCAAGGATCTGTGGAGGGGCATGTGGAGGGGTCTGTGGAAGGGCATGTGGAAAATCGTGGAGGAGGAGGAGGAGGAGGAGGCGGCCTTGTGTGGGCACTGAAGGGCGAAAGAGGGGCGAGGGGGCCGAAGGGGGTTGCGCTGGTCTAACCCGAAGGGGGAGGACCAGGGACGTGTGGAACCTGGGACAGCCCCTACCCGGGATTTCCTCTCCTTCATTCCCCAATATGTCCGTTTTGCCGTCGCGATGATGCTGCTCGCGCAACATATCGTGGCTGTAGCGATGATGATGATGATGATGGTGGTATTGGGTTTGCTGCTGTTCCACAACAGATACAAGCGTTGGATGCCAAGTCGCTCAGGCGGCTTGTGGCGGGACTTGAGAAAAAGGTAAGAAGGGGAGGGGATGAATGATAGTGGTGGTGAAGATGGGTGTGATGAGATGGGAATGTTGGCAGGTAAATGAACATGCTGCTAGTAGAGGGTGTGGAGGGGAGCAGGCAACGAAGAAGCCGCCGTCCAGCCCTAACCCGGCCGTGGCGGAGATGGGGGAGGGAGGGGTTTGTGTGTGGGGGCCAATGGAGGGAGGAGCAGCCGGTGGGTAGGGAAAAGTACGGCACGCCGTACTCATGGACGGAGCCACCTTCTCCAGACGGCGCCATCCCTGTCCCAGTTCTCAAACAGCTTGCAACGTTATTTATGTGTAAACGTCGCGTCACGTGCCCTCCTGCCGTCGCCGTACATACACACCACTCTCCTCCCTCGCAACCCATGTTGCTGCGCCACGTGCGCACATTCATTCGTTCGTACGCACGTCCATTCTTACTGCAGTACAAGGAGAATCTGGCATTGCGGCTCAAGTACAGCGACCAGCCGGACAAGTTTTTGGACAGCGAAGTAGATCTGGACGAGCATATAAAGTCATTGCTGCAGGTAATGCGTTGCCTGTACAGGCAAGGTATACCTTGCTCGCTGGGGGCTCCTTGCGGCGATTATCCTCCCGATTGCAGCTTCACGAAATGGCCGATATCGTGTACATGAGGGTTAGCAGGAGGAAGCGGGGGGGGGAGCGTGGAGCGGATTTAGGCCCGGAGAGGAGGTTGATGGGTCTTATATGTTATCGCCTGTAGGGGCGGAGAGTCTGCCAAGGCTGCTACTGCCGCTACTACCGCTGCAGCTGCTGCTGCTTTTCACTGCCGTAATTTAGATGTCAACGCGTTCGCCACTGATTCGCCCGTCTTTCTTCTTTCGCGGCTCTATTTCTTAAAACACGCACATAAGCGCACAGAAGAGCCGTGTTGACCTCTTGTTGAGATAATCATCATGAGCTTGGTCCCTGGGCCCATCCCGCTCCATCTCCAACACCCGTACAACCCTTTCACATACATACATACATATATATGCATACATACATACCCTCATCGCGGTTCAAATCACTCTTTTACACACACACACGAGCACGCACACACACATGAGCACACACACACACACGAGCACGCACGCGGCCGCACCTCCTCCAGGTCGCTGGTAGTCCCGAGCTGTACCCGGTGCTGGTGGACGGTCCCTGCCTGCCCACCTTGTTGGCGCTACTTAGCCACGAAAACACGGACATAGTGGCGGATGTGGTGGAGCTGCTGGCGGAGATGACTGGGGCGGGTAGGGGGTGAGGCGTGAGGGGGAGCTGTTTGCAAAAGTCCAAGAAGCATCGGGGTTGGGGCAGTGCTTTGTGTGCATATGTATGTGTGTGTGTTATTTCGGGGGAAAAAATAAGCCTGCTGGCTTATGTATTTTTTAAGGATGAAGGGAAGTGTATGTATGTGCGTATGTATATCGGAAGAAAGAAAATGGCTGGGAGGGTGTGCGTGTGTGTGGGGGGGTAGGGGTAGGGGTAGGTGGGAGAGGTTGAGATGGGAGTGGGGTAGGGGTAGGGGTAGGGGTCGGGGGGACAGGTGGCCCCCGGTACGAGGGAACACAGGGCCAGCTTGTTGCTGTTCGTCGTGATGATGATGATGGTGGTGATGGTGGCGATTGTGGTGGTGGTGATGTCCCGCATACGCCCCGTCTGCCGCCTGCCGGGTCCCAGATGCCGCTGAGGAGTACGGCGAGGAGGCGCGCGGCTTGGTGGAGAGCCTTGTGGAGCACAACGCGCCGGAGCTGCTGGTGCAGCGGCTGCTGGGGTTTAAGGAGGAGGTGGACGAGGAGGCCCGGGCGGTGAACAACTGCCTGGCGGTGGTGGAGAACATGGTGGAGGTGGGGAAGGGGGAGGGGGGTCTTGGGTTTGGGGCCTGGTTGGGAGGTTGGGGGGAGGGCGGGATCGACTCTGTGCGGCCAAAAGTACGGTCACGGTATTGCCATACGAAATTTAAGTTATCTTCCCCTCCTGTTTTTTGATCTATCTACATGCCAAAGGTCTCTATATATTGTATTCCGCGCGGCGCACAACACCCCTCCTTCCCTTCACTTACTGCATCGACGGGTGACAGTTTGGATTTTAAAAGCAGTTAGGCATGAGCAATCTTGCATGTAATCCCCTCCCTGTGTTTAAGTTCTGTTCTCCCTCCTCGCCATGTTCGATGTCCTCTATAAATATATACCTCTCCCCCGCACACGCCAGATTCAGCCCGACCTGGCTTCAGCGTTTGTTGAGAAGACCAAGTTGCTGACGTGGCTTCTGAGGCGGTTAAAGCGGCGGGATTTCGACACCAACAAGCAGTACGCCTCAGAGGTGCTGGCGGTCCTCATGCAGGTCTGCGTTACGTGGGAGTGTGCGCGTGGTTGGACTCGAATGAGCTCGTCTGGGGTGGCCATAGGAGGTTCGGGGACAGGAGTAGATGTGGGTGTGTGTTTGGCGACTTTTATTGCCCAACATTATCCAACGAGCTGAAATGAAACGAGTGTGTATATCTGTATGTATGTCTGCACAATGCGCGTGCGTGTATGCAATTACAAACGCGTGTCAGTGTATTTAAGAGGTGGAATGGGTATATAGCGGGGGGCCCTCTGCGCTGGTGAACATGTGCATGTCTCCCACCCTGCGATGCCTGGGAAGATCGGGGCTAGACCTATTTTTTAATTATGGATCACAAGTCGAGTCGGCGCAGGCGGGGTGCTACTCCCAATCCACTTCACTCCCCTCGCCCTCCTCTGAAGCCGCCGTGCTCTTCCCCCCGTCCCCCTGCTTCTTGTACACTCTTTCCTTGGCAGCAGCTTCACTCGTCCGTGGCTTGTCTTTCCCCCCCCCTCCGCCCCCCAATCCCTCCCTCCCCGGAAAACGCACGGCAGCTGCGTCAGAGTTTGTCAGGCGGCAGCTTGTTTCCTAAATATGGGACGTGCGTCCAGTGGATTTCCACCCCCCGGGAACCTGCTTTCCCCTGTTAGCCCCCTACCCGGGGTGGGGGGTGCAGCTGGTGCTCTGGATGTGTCGACAGTTGTCTCTTTTAGCAACCGCAACCTCGTGATGTGCCCCCTGCCATCCCCTCGTCTCCCCCCCCGGCCCCATGAACACCTCAGGGATCCGTGTCCAACCAGGCGAAGCTGGGTGCGGAGAACGGCATCGACTTGCTGCTGACGTGTGTCGCGCAGTACAAGAGCAAGGACCCCAGCGTTGGGGAGGAGGAGGAGTACATGCAAAACTGTTTCGACGTGCTGTGTGCATGTCTTATGCAGCAGGTGCATAAGGCGGCGTTTGTTAAGGTACTACGTGTGTGAGGCGGGCGGGCGGGCGGGGGGGGGGTTAGCCGCTCAGACGGCGCCGTGCGTCCGAAGATCCAAGATTTACTCCGATTTCTGAGTCCCCCTTGGCCCCATCCCCGCGCAATGAACACGCGGGTTTTGGCTTTAGATGGATCGGCGGCTGTTTCTTGTTCGTTGCCAAAGCTTGGTTTTTGTATCGTGTGCATGTTGCTCCCCCTCCCGCTCCCCCATGATTTACCCCCCTTCCCCTCCCCGTCCCGCTCGCCCATGAATTGCCCCCTTCCGCTTCCTCGCGTCCAGGCGGAGGGTGTTGAGCTGATGCAGCTAATGCTCCAATCCCGACGTCAAGGCCGCTACGGGGCCCTCAAATGCCTGGACTACGCCACCACCCGCTTCGCCGCACCCGCGGAGAAGCTGGTGGACCTGGGGGGACTGAAGCAGCTCTTCGGGCTGTTCATGGGGAAGGCTAAGGTCAAGGGGCCCACAGGTACATGGGGGCCAGTGGCTGGGTGGGGGTTGCAATGCGGGTGGAGGTTGGGGGGTGGAGGTTGGGGGGTTCGGGGTGTTGTGGGGTGTTGTGGGGCGGGGTTTTCCAGGGTGAGGGATTAGATGGATGGAGGGGTGGTTGCAATCTTCCATGCACCTGTGTGCGTCAGCTTCCTTCTTCTACCGCCAGAACCGCCCCAATCTTGGGGCCGCAACCGGCGCCGCAGTCGTTGTGCTTTAAAAGCTGTGTATGTTCCTCTGCCTGCGCACCTAAGCTACCTCCCTCCAGGTGCCATGCCCTGGCGTCCGAGTGTCCGCCCGTCTTTTCCTCTTAACACCTTTTTCCCTTTTTCCCCCCCCCCCCGCATTCTCACTTTGTGTGTTTTAGGATCCTTTCCGCCATGCGTGTCTGTTTACCTGTTTGCTCGGGCCCCCTGTTCCCCTGCCTGGCTGCCTGCCTGCAGGCGAGCACGACGTAGACGGTGAGGTGGAGGAGCGGTGTATCTCCTTGGTGGCCAATCTGGTGACTCAGCTGCCCGCGGTGGGGAGGGGGGCTGGCAGGCGGGAGAGGCTACTGGCCAAGTTTGTGGAGAACGAGTTCGAGAAGACGGACCGCCTTATGGAGCTGCTGTTCAGGTCGGGGAGGTAGAGGGGGGGGAAGGGGAGCCCCCCAGGAGCCCCCAGGGTGTTGCGGAGAAACTTGACAACATCCTTCCCGCACACACACATAGACATACATACATACATACACTACCCTAACCCATCCCACACATACACACCCACTCACCCACCCAGGCTGAAGGGGGGTTTGTGCTCCGTGCGGTGCCGCTTTTCGTGAAATCTCTAACCGCGTTGCCCGTCCTTCCTGCCTGCCCTCCATCTCCCCCCAAAGATAATCTATGTGTTTTGCATGTGATGCCCCCCTGCCGTAGCTCCACTTCTCGTTCTTGCACACGTGTGTGCGTATTATTCTTGCATAATACGCAGATGCGTATTTACATGTACTCCACCGTCCCCATTTCGGTGCCCGCGCGCTCAGGTACCAGTCCCGCGTGAGGGCGGAGGAGCGGCGCCTGGCGGAGGCGTTGGCGGAGGCGGAGGAGAACGAGCAGGCGAGAGAAGTCCGGCGGGTTCGCAGACCCCTGCATGTTTTAAAAACAAAATATTTTATCCAGTTCTTACGGCAGCGGCACCAGCAGTGTTTGGAAAACCGTTCATGCCACTGTTTATGGCGCATCTAGTTAGGCATGTAGTTAGGCAGCCTTTTGGGGGGCTCTTGGCTTCCGTATAGTCGAATTACTTCTACCGTCGCTTCACAACCTCCTCATGGAACACAGCTGTGTGCGCGTTGTTACATTTTCCTTTTCTTAATTCTCTTCGGGCCCTTTTTCGCGTTACCATCCCGCCGTGCAGTCCATGTTTCCTCCTCAGGGCCCTTCTCGCGGTTCGTACTACATTTCACCCTAATTTTCCCCCCCTCCACACCCTTTCCTTGGCAGCAGCTTCACTCGTTCGTGGTTCGTCTTCCCCCCCCACACACACACACACCCCGGTCCATTCGACACACACAATTGACTTTCTTGCCTTGCGTGTTGTGTTTTGCTCCATCATATAACTCCTCCTCCATGCCCCCGTCCTTTACCTTTCCTCATCCCCATTGGGGGTTTCTCGCTTCGAGTAGGTTGACGAGGAGGAGTTGCTCCTGGCCCGACTCGATGCGGGGTTGTTTACTTTGCAGCAGTGCTGTCTCATATTCGGTAACCTGTGGGCCACGGGGGACGTGGGGCTGAGGAAGCGGCTGCTGGCGCTCCTGCACCAAAAAGGACAGACACTGGGGCCCGTCAGGTGGGTGTGCTTGGCGCGGTAGGGTGGCTGTGCAGGGGAGGGGGGGGCGGGTAAGGAGGCCTCGTTCGTAAAACACACCGAACATTCTTAGGGCATTTGGTTGATGTAGATTTTTGTCGTGCCTCCCGCCACAAACCCCCACCAGCTCCGTCCTTGTTAACGTATACGATTTCCCATCACCTCAACCACGAGAGACACACCCACCCACACAGGGAGGTCCTACTCGAGTACTACAACAGCATTGGTGACGAGGGCGGCCCGGAGGAGGGGGCTCGAACTCGCAGCCACGTACGAGGATTGCTGGAGGCCCTAGGGGCGCAACTGGAGGAGGAAAAGGAGGAGATCAAACAGGCGGCGACGAAGGCGGTGGGCGGGGAGAACGGAGGGCAGGACGGACCCGTGGGTCGGCGGCAGCACCATCAACGAGGGGGACGTGCAGGCGTGGGCGCAGCGGCGGCGGGGGCGGCGCGGGAGGAGGAGGAGGAAGGGGACATGGATGCTATGGAGTTGGATGAGGGGCCGCCACCGCCGCTGCCGCCCTCCTCCAGCGGTAGACCTGCTCCGGGCACCAGGGAGGGTGAGGGCAGGTACGTCCTACGTGGTGTAGCTGACTGGCTGGCTGGCTGGCTGGGTGCGTGATGTGGCTGGCGAGATGTGGCTGGCTAGACGTGGAGGGATATTGCATACGGGTGTGTGGCCAGCAGGTGGCTGGTGCCGTACCAATGTTTGCCAGCCCTGCAACACGGCAGTCTTTCTTACCTCTGACTCGCCTCCTCCAAACCTAATTTTTCGGACTCGCAACTCAACCCCGGCCCGTCCGGTCCCGCTCCTGGCTTCCCATCCACCTTCCCTCCAGGCGCAAGGACGATTCGGAGCTGATGCCGCCTCCGCCGCCACCTCTCCCGCCACCCTCATCCTCATCTCAGGCCTCCGCAGCCGTGGGGGCTGCCGCGGGCTCCAAGTCCAGGGCACCGCTAGGGGAAGCAGGGGCCGGGGCAGCAGCAGCAGCAGCAGCATCGGGAATCGATCGGGAGGGAAGGGGTAGCGGCGGTGCTGGTGGTGGGAGCGCAGGTGGCATGGGTCGCGATTACCGGCGAGACGTGGACGCTGATGGAGATGAGCGGATGGGCCGGGAGGCTGACGGTGCGGGTCTCGGGCCCCTCCAGGCGAGGGAGCGGGAGCAGCGGGATCGGGACCGGGACGGCAATCGTTGGTGAGTGCGGCATATCCCTGGAGGCAGGGGGGGAAGGGGCATGCCGTGAGAGACAGTGACAGTGGATTGATGTGGACTACATGGGGCCCGCAGGACCCTGGCAGGCGGGTTGCTGTCAAGTGGACGATGCTGAGGGTGCGGCCACCGCTAGACCGGTGATGTATCGTTATCTAGATAGTCGGCGTCGCCATCATGGCCATAATAAATTCTGAAAGTCCCTCCTACCGCCGCCTCCTCCTATCCCCCCGCAGGCCGGATCGAGACCGCGACCGCGAACATGACCGCGACCGAGACCGCGAGCGGCACAAGGAGAAGGAGCGGGAACGAGGCAGCGGCACCAAAGAGAGGGACAAGGACAAGGAGAGGGAGCGGTACGTGCGTGCGGGGGGGGCTCTGTAAGGGGTGCGTGGGGGACGCGGTGTGTTTCGTTTCGTGTCTGGCAGCCAGGGGCTCGCAAGTAAGATTGCCTTTTGTCCGGTGCGTGGTGCGTGAGGTGTGGCAGGTTTGGTTCGGTAACCCCCTGACCCCTTTTCTGAATCAAGCCAAGTCACCAATCATGTCTGTCTGTCGACATACCCGATCCATCAACCTCGCCTCCCTCGACACTGATCACTACCAACCTCGGCAAACACGCACCTAAAAGAAAGCCGCACCCTCACCGCGCATCACCTCCATCATTACAGGGATCGCGACCGTCGTGACTCTTCCCGCCGGGATCGCGAGGTGGAGCGTGACGAGCAGGACTACGAAGAGCGGCGCAAGCGGGACAGAGACCGGGACAGGGAGCGAGACGGTCGTGACAAGGACAGCAAAAGGGGCCGGGACAAGGACAAGGACAAGGAGCGGGAACGAGACAGAGACAGAGATCGAGATCGGGAACGGCATCGGGACCGGGAACGGGACCGGAACCGGCGGTGAGGGTGCTGGAAGGCTGTTTCATATGGGCAGAGCATATGAGCAGAGCAGGACAGAGCTTAGCGCCTTGGTAGCCATCTATCTGGTGGTATATCCGGAGGACGTGAGGGCGTGTGGTGGAGGAGGGCGTGGTGGTGGAGAAATGGCCGCCGCCACCCAGAGGACGGCGCCCGAGGGCCTCGTGGACGTGCAGCGAAGCATCTGTTTGGGGTTCTTGGGTACGTGCCTTGAGAGGATGGATGTCGGGGCCCTCCCCCAATTGATATCCAGCGTTTTGAAGGAAGATGGGTATCATCATTGGCATTGCTGTAGCTGCTGGCACAGCTTGGTGCATTGGGCTTGGCCTTGGTAATAATACGGAAAGCAGTCCCCGTCCTGAACCCTGGACAGCTTACTAGCGCCAGCGATGTACCGCGTCTCCAGAGAGCTTAAAATTTTTGTGCGTATATACATATCCAGCTGCCGAAGTTATGCAACAAAGGGCATACAAAGCCCGTTAGAGAACATGTGGGTAAGGTGGGGCAGTAGGCTCTGATTTGAAGTCAGTGGGGGCCATGAAAATGCAAGGAACAGGGTAAGGAAACGGTAACTCAACGCGGAAAGGCACTTGCCTGTCCAAGTTGCTATCAGCAGAAGCAGCAAGCTGAAGGTACTCTATGAAATACAGTTGCTCGTTTGCATATTTACTTTAGCCAATGCTCGGGGCCTCCGGAGACTTGCGGTGTGCCGCGTTGAAGCTCGCGGCTGTGGGGCGGATCGCCGAGGCCGCTGGCGCTTCGGGGATAAACATCACAGACAGAACCGAACTTCACCCAGCTTGCGTTACCATTTGCCCGCACGGGCATTCCGACTTGCGGTCTGCTGCACTGTCCATGCGGCATGCACCCGGGATAAATGCGATTCGCGTGGAGCCCGCAGGCGTTGCTGACGATTCCGTTGGTGCAAGCTTAGCTCCCACACCATCAGCACTGCTGCAACAAAGCACATCTCCCACCGCGTTGACACTACCCATCAATTGTCACACGTGCCGTGCTAGCTACCGGCCTGTACGGACGCAGGGGGGGCCCGCCCTTTCTCCGGCTTCGAGGAAGCCGACACCCGACTTGTCCCGACATTGCTTTAAATATGGCAAGCAAGGTCTGACAAGGACAAGGAAAACAACGGAAAGCGGCCTCTGTACGACGACGAAAACGAAACATAATTACCTTCAAATCCCCCCAAGCGCACCCAGTTACATCGTAAACCAGCCGAACATAAAGCCGTTACTGTAAGAAGGCAGGCCGTTGCCGACCCTTTCAATACACCACAGCGGCTGCCGGTACGGGTTCCCCGCCTGCCGTAGATCTGGCGTCATGCCGTACAACTGCTCCAGCAGCTGGCACGACCGCACGCACTCCTCTTCGTTATATGCGGTGAACAGACAACAACATGCAACAGGACGTGGCTTCGGCTGCTGCCCCCACCGCCGCCGCGCTCCATTCTCCCACCGCCCCACATCGGCTACCGCCGCAGCCACCGCCTCCGTAGCCGCCGCCACTTCCACCCCCACGTTCGGGCACGCCGATGGCATCGTCGTCGTTGCGGCCATCTTCCTCGTCATTATCGCCTTCGCGGTCCTCGTCGCCTCCACAGCCTCCGCATCCTCGGCACGTCGTCCCTCCAGCTGCTGCTGCTGCTGCTGCTGAACATGATGACGATGATGATGATGACCCACGGGTCTTTCTTCGGCCTGTCGCCCCGAAAGTAGCAACAGCAGTTCCAGGGTAGGTTGCCAGGACATGTAAACAGGCAGACCAGCGTTGGGTGCGAAGACCAGAAGCGGCGCCGCTGGCGATGAACCGCACTGGACGCCGCCGCCGCCGCCTCCTGCCGTACCCGGATTGTCGTGCCCGGACTGGTTGAGATCCCCAGGCGCCGCGGGACTCGACTTAGCGGACGGGGTTGACGACATGGAGGAGCAGGCGCCACCATCACCAATACCGTTACCCCCAGGAACTTCACAGTCTCCTCCGCCCCCTCCCCCTCCGCCCCCTCCCCCTTTCTCTCCTCCGCCCCCTCCCCCTCCGTCCCCTCCCTCCTTCCCTCCTCGGGGTCTCTCATCACCACTACGACCCTCCGGAAGCCCGGCAGCTCTTTCCGCAGCTCTCGCAATAAACTCCATCAGCAGGTCTCCCGCCTCCTCCACCTCCTCCGCCACCACCTCCGCCACCACCTCATGAAGCAAGCCGCTCCATAACGTCATCTCAAGACGGGGCGCCGGCACCACCGCCGCCTCCACCGCCGTACTGCCTCTACCGCAGTCCTCCGCGTCACCGCTGCCACCGCCGCCGCCGGCATCGCCACCTCGGACTCGGCGGGGACCGGCCGCTGCGTGGCGCTGTCCCACGTCCTCAGTCGCCGAGCCGCCGATAGGAGCGGCCGTCCTGGGAATCCCCAGCAGCTCGCCATTGTACACGAGTACGGCGCCGTGCAGGTGTTCCGGCACGTCTGGTCCCACCATGTGTACCCGCAGCGTGCACCCGGGCGGCAGTAGCGGCAGTAGCACTGCAAAGGTATCCAACTGGTCGAGCTCGGCCTGGGGACCTGCGGCAGCAGTGGCGGGGGCAGTAGCACTGTAGCAGCAGCGGCAACATTCGGCACAACAACGGCAACATAGCAGCACAACAGTACGTAATGCGAACACACACAAAGGGAAGCGGCACCTGTCTCTGCATCCACCACCGTCTGTGGATCAGAGGCTTGTGGGTTCACCCCTCTCCCCCCCACCCTAATTATGCCCCGCGGTAACGCTCCCGAGACTAAGAGGGAGGGCCCTGCTACGACTGAATAACCAACTGATTATTCGACAACAGACTGATCAATTAATGAAGCGACCGTACTGCTATTCGTATTGCTGCTACTGTTGCTGCTACAGCCAGGAGGCCGGAAAGCATTTCGGCCATGCTGCCGAGCATGCAAGACTGCTGCTACGCAATAATATATATCATATCATATAATATGTTATATGATATATACAAATAATACTATATACTAAATGGTCATATTATAAATATATACATATGTATAATATATATATATGTATTATATGTATAATAATTTTGCATATAAATAATATTATATATTTTTTATTATATAAATGGTGTAATGGTGTATATAATATACACCATTTCTACATACCATATTATTACTAATGATTCTATTTATATATCTTACATATGTACACCATTTGCTACATCTTACCGAGATACAACACGTCCACAAGACGCCGTGCACTTCCGGAAACTTCCCCACAGCCGCCGGGAAGTCTCCCGCCCGCCTTCCCTTCCGTCGAGCTCCTCCCCCCTCCTCCCCCCCTTCCACCTCCCTCTCCCTCTCCTCCCCCTCCGCTGCCGCCGCCGCATGCTGCGCCCTCCACCCAGAATGTGGAAGCGGAGGCTTCCGCACCAGGGGGCTCCGCGAGGACGCGGGTGCCCTCACCCGCCCCGGCTCCCAGCAGCGCACCGCCCAGCCGCTCGTCCAAGAGCCGCAATGCGCCGTACAACGTTAATGGGAAGTGCATTAGCAGCGCCGCCGGCGACTCCAACGGCAGCCCCGCCCAGCGGTAGTACGACAACCAGTCCACGACACTGTACGGCCCGCAGGCAGCGCCGGCACCGCCGCTGCCGCACTGTTGTTGCTCCTGTTGGTTCGGACCCGGAAACTCAGAGCCCCCAGAGGGCTGCTGCCCCGCAGGCGTCGTGGTGCCGAGTCCACTGACCCGCGGGTCACTGGGTGCAGACGGCGGCGGCGGCGCTGCCGGCGTCCCCGACCCACTGCCGCGCTCTGCTCTCGGGCCCCGCAGGGGGGGCACCAGCAGAGGTGGCAGGTGCCACACCCGCTGAGCCCAACAGGCGGCTTGGTCCCAGAGCGCCGGGCCGTCGGAAGAGGCTGTAGCAGGAGCTGTAGCAGGAGCTGTAGCAGGAGCTGTAGCAGGAGCTGTAGCAGGAGCTGTAGCTCCGAGATCGGCGGCAACGGCGGCGACGGCAACTGCCTCTGGCGGCGGCGATGCAGTCCGCCACCGCCGCGGCAGCTGCACCTTTGCCAGCATTGGCGGCTGCAGAGCGCCCCATTCGCCCTCGTCACCGCCGCCGCTGTCACGACCACACTGGCATAGGCGCCGCCAGCAGCCGGCAGCCGTACAACCACCACCACTGTCCCCGCCTCCGCTACCAACCTCATCGCCATCGCTATTGTTGCTGCAATTGCGGTTTTGGAGCTGGAAGGCACGCGCAGTAGGGCCATCATGATCATCCACATCCATAGTCTGAACGCCGCTGTGAGTGAGTGTGTACGACAACGCTGATGGCGACGTTATGGGCAGCGGCCATGGCGCTGGTTGGGGGTGATGAAGCATGCGGAGGAGCGCACAGAGGGACATGGACGGCGGGGTCGACGGCGGCGCCGTCGCCTCTCCGTGCGGGTACGCAACACGGCGGCCATTATCTAGACTAGCTTGACTGCCGCCAGTCCGTACACCAGGCGTCGACGCAACGCCGCCGTACTTAGAGGACGGTAAGTCGTACGCGTGAGAAGCGCCGGCGGCAGTGTCCGCTAGTCCCGCTGGCTCGCACGGCCGTACGCCAACCGCCATGTCATCTAACCGACGCCGCCGCTGCTGCTGCTGCTGCTGCTGCTGCTGTCCTCCCTCCTGCTGCTGCTGCTGACAAGGTTGTCGCGGTTCCGTCCCACCCTCATCTTGTCGGCCTCCTACCGACCGGTACCGCCTGGAAAGAAAATCCAGATCCAGATACAGCATTGGATTGAGGCTCCGAAACCAAGGAAATGGAAAGTCCGCGAGCTCCGCCGCCCGTCGTACCTGCGCCGCCATGCGTGCGCATTCCTCCTTGGAGTGGCCATGGCTAATTCCCGCCGCGGTGAGGGGGGTTGTGAATCGGCGGCGGTGAGCCTCGCAGCAGAAGTACAGCGCGCCGCAGCCGTCACACGCACACGGGCGTTTCTGTTGTCTCTGTTGTCGTTGGGTTGGTTGCAACAGCTGCAGCTGGTGGTGGTGCTGATGGTTACAATATTCATCCCGGTGTAGGTGGTGGTGTCGGTCGCGGCTGGGGGATTTGTCAGGGCTTTGCTGGGGCTGGGGCCGTGGATGGGTCTGGGTGGGCTGCGTAACGTCGCACGGCACGCCACAGAGCGCGCAAAGGTACGGGCTCCTCATGGCCATTACTAGGAAAGCTTAGGTGCAGGTTCGCAGTGCAGCTTGGATTGCACGACTCCTCAACTCACTTGCGGACGACATCGCAAAGACGGTTGGATAGTGCCGCAGTATCGCCGTAACTAGAAAAAAAAGGTAGACACGCGATATTCCCTAAGGAAACGATAGCTAGTAGGTTGTAAGGCAGGAAGAAGGATCGCTGCGAAGAAACGTACGGCATCTAGTTGCAAACGGGAGGTTTCAGTGGTCAGCAAGTTTCATACGTAAAGCATAAAGAATTTTTGTGTTCTCACCTGTAGCGCGCATAGCGTGTGTACAGCGCAACCATGGCAGCTGACCTGGCGTCCGTCGCTGCGAAGCTCGCTGCTCCGGGCAAGGGTCTGCTGGCATCGGATGAGAGCACTGGAACAATCGGTAAACGGCTGGAGAAGGCTGGCCTGCCGAATACGGAGGTGGGCCATGTTCGGTTTGGGGGAACGCTACGTCGAACGTGAGGGTATCTATGGTTGTGACTCTAGGTTGTTGACTGTGTTGTATGATAACTACACTTGCGACTATCCAGCAGCTTCACAAGTGCACCTGAGCTGTGATATTCCCAACTTTGGGCACGATGTTGTCTTTCTTGCTATTACGGCCAGTCCTTTGATGCCGGCCTACTGTAATTCCCAATATCATGAAACAGGATCGCCATGCACAGTGACGGTATGCTATTAGCTTGCGCTGCTGCACAATCACAGAACCACGCACGCACACACCCGCGCATCGCGGACCGCTCAACTCTTAACGTTTCATTTCCTGCACAAATTATTACTAGCAGCTTGGTACCGCAACCATGCACGAGGCTGGCTTTGCATGTCTTTCCCAGTCGCTCAGATTTTGTTGGGCACCGTAACGATTGCCTATCACTCCTTCCTTCCACGCACCCCCACCCGAGCGATGCCTCCTGCTGCTCACTCAGCCTGAACCGGTCTCCATAGTGCTCCCTTTCCCCTTCTAAATGTAAGATCTGTACGCCTCCTGCTGCTGTCGTACTTGCTGCAGTTGCTGCTGCCCGCCTTCAATGCAACGGTGTTTTCCCCCGCCGCACCCCCCCTGCCTCACCGGCGTGCTCTTTAAACCCCCGGTGCCGCTCCTTGAAACCCCCACCGTCCCCCGTAACCCCTTTACCTCCTTGCACACATCTGACCGCTGTTCCAACCCCCCGGGCTGGCTCCTCCTCCTCACACTCACACTCACACCGATATACCCTCCACCAATCCCCCCCAAGGTCCCCGCCCAATCACCCTGCTTCCCAAACCCCAAACCCCAAACCCGCATCCACCCCGACGGAACGGCCCCCAACCGCCACTGTGCGCTACAGGACATCCGCCGGTCGTACCGCGAACTGTACTACACCACTCCGGGTATGGGCCAGTATATCAGCGGTGTGATTATGTTTAAAGAAACGTTGTACCAGTGTACGGCATCTGGTCGCCGCTTCGTGGACGCTTTGGCGGACGAGGGGATCCTGGCGGGCATCAAAGTGGACGAGGTGGGCCCGGGCTGTCTGGAGGGGCATAGGGTGGGGGGGGTGGGGGTGATGGTGGTGGGGGTGGTGGTGGGGAGAGGTGTTTTGTGTTGTGTGTGGGGAGGCGGGCCAAAGACGAGCCACAGACGAGTGTGATGCTGATATCAGTATCCAATAGACGGACACTCTGCAGGAATAGACATACATACATACTGCAGGAATTTGCAACAAGAAGTTACCAACAAGTAGTGACTTTGGAAGTAGTCATCGCCGTGACGTGGCCAGCTGGGTTGGGGAGGGGGAAGGGGGAGAGGGGGACGGTAGAGATTAGGGGGATATGGTCGGGGGTTACATGCAAGAGCCAGCGAGTGCTGATGCTCGAGACATACTGCCCTGACGTCCGTAGCCCCCTCCCGGGGGGGGGCTGAAGGGTTTCCCACGAAGGGCCTGAAGGGGGGTAGATGGGGGGATGGGGGAGAGGAGGGAGAGAAGGGGGGGAGTGGAGGGGGCAAGGAGGGGTGCGGGAGGAGCTGCCCGCAAGCGAGGGTGTTTAGCGTGTCATGTCTTTTTTTACAAAGAAGCGGATTGGAGGTGGGGGTGGTGCGGAGTTGGAAGGGAGGAGGACGTGTAGACTTAGGAGAGGCGGAGGGGAGTGACGAGGGGGAGGGTGGGGAGGGCTCCAAGTCGTGATGCGCCGTGATGGTGTTGTCTATGAGGACTTGAGGGACACTGGTTCCGTCCCCACCTGTCCCCTCCTCTCCACTCCACTCCCCTCTGGCGCCACCCCTTCCCCCCTTGGACGTCCTGTCTCGGGGTGGGTGTTACTCTTCCCTACATACATACATACATACATACATACATACATACATACATACATACGCACCTCACCCTTCGCAAACCCCCAGGGTCTCGCACCCCTGCCGGGGGGTGGTGACGGGGAGACATACACCCGGGGCCTGGAGGGGCTGGAGGCGGCGTGTCGCGAGTACGTCGCGGCCGGAGCGAAGTTCTCCAAATGGAGGGCCACTCTCAAGGTGGGCTGAGGGGTGGGCTGTTGCTGTTGTGGTGGTGGGCTGGGGGGTGGGCTGTTGCTGTTGTGGTGGTGGGCTGGGGGGTGGGCTGTTGCTGTTGTGGTGGTGGGCTGAGGGGTGGGCTGTTGTGGTGGTGGGCTGGGGGGTGGGCTGTTGCTGTTGTGGTGGTGGGCTGGGGGGTGGGCTGTTGCTGTTGTGGTGGTGGGCTGGGGGTCTTGGCTCGGGAAGGGGGTGGTGGTACGTATGTAGTTCCCCCCTGTCCATCTGCCGCAGCACTCTTTCCTTGACAGCAGCTTCACTCGCTTGTGGTTCGTCTTTTGCCCCCCTCCCTTCCCCCCCACACCCACACACACTCACCCACACACACGCAACTCCCCCTTCCCCCCACCAGCAAGCACCCACACTCTTACACGCGCTGTGCCCCTGGCCCCCCTGCAGGTCTCAGACGTCCTCCCCTCTGATGCGGCGGTGGAGCGCAACGCCGATGACCTGGCCAGATACGCCAGGATATGTCAGGAATGCGGTCTGGTGCCCGTGGTGGAGCCGGAGATCCTGATCGACGGCCCCCACTCGCTGGCGCGTTTCGGAGCCGTCACTGAGCGGGTTCTGGAGGCCACGGTGGCGGCTTTGCGGCGACACGGTGTTTTGCTGGAGGGTTGTCTGTTGAAGCCGCAGATGGTCATCCCGGGGTCGGAGGCGGAGGGGGGGAGGGCGGCGCCGGAGGAGGTGGCGAAACACACCGTGGCGGCGTTGAGGCGGTGAGGTGGTGTGTTGAGGAAGGCGTGGCGTGGGGAAAGGTGTGTTCATCTTTAAGACGCGTCCACAGCAAGGGTGGGCACTAGGTGTTTGCTTTCTGATTTCCCGTCCCCCCGTGCACGTCCTCCCTCCCTCCCTCCCTCCTTTACCCGTACCTGTCACGTCGACATTTGTGTTTTTTGTTTCCTTTATCATCACCACCACCACCATCATCATCATCACCATCATCATTTGAAAATCCCCACCGCCTCCCCCTCCTCCCCCCTCAACCCCCCGCATGTGCAGGGTGGTTCCCCCGGCCATTCCCGGGATCATGTTTTTGTCGGGGGGCCAGACGGAGGAGGAGGCGACGGCGAACCTTAACGCCATCAACCGGGAGGCGCAGGCTGTGGGTCGCTGCCCCTGGAGCTTGTCCTTCTCATTCGGACGGGCGCTGCAGGTAGGTGTGTATGTATGTAGGTATGTACGAGGGCATGCATCGGTCCTATGGGGGTGGTGGGGGGCGGTGAGGAAAGCGGGGTGACGCTGTGGACCTAGGGGGCCCCGAGGAGGAGAAGTCGACAGAGCGTCACCTCCACCACCTCCACCACCTCCACCTCCTCCACCTCCACCTCCACCACCTCCACCACCTCCACCACCTCCACCACCTCCACCTCCACCACCTCCACCTCCTCCACCACCTCCACCTCCTCCACCACCTCCACCACCACCTCCACCTCCACCACCTCCACCTCCACCTCCACCTCCACCTCCACCTCCACCTCCACCTCCACCTCCACCTCCACCACCTCCACCTCCACCACCTCCACCTCCACCACCTCCACCACCTCCACCTCCACCTCCACCTCCTCCACCACCTCCACCACCTCCACCACCTCCACCACCTCCACCTCCACCTCCACCACCACCTCCACCTCCACCTCCACCTCCA